CTGCTAGCGAATTCCATATCACCTTTTCTTTGGATTGCCACAGTATCGATTGCAGTCAGGTTCATCCCTGTCTCTTATCCTGTTAAGAACGCAGTGAATCACAGCAGCGTAATCAAAAAAGAACTTGAACGCATGCTTGGCCGATGATTAGACGGCTTGTCCACACAACCATTTCATCGTTCTACTCTAATTCAGCTGATTTTCTCTTTGTATATTTTTTTGTAACATTTCGTTCCATCTATGTAGTTATTGCAGCGGATGCTGCGATGGCAGATAGTAGTAGTGCTTTTAGCAAGTACTGCAGCTGACTTAGTTAGGGTTAAACGCCAGTGTGAGTGTAAATTTTCCTTGATCGATTTATAATACCTAAAAGAGTTTAATTATTTAGTATCCATTGATGACCTGATCTCAAGAGCACTTTCATTAGTTCGGCCAATATTCGACACATCACAACCACTGCAGAATGATGAAATGCTCAAAAAACAAGTGAGTTAAGGGAGTTACCTGGACGAACACGGAACTTAAAGTGTTCTGAATAAAATATGTAATATGCTCCAAAAGTGTATCCACTCTTGAATGCACAGTAATTCTCGCAGTCACTGCATCGTTTATTCCAAAATCTTGCGTAGGTTCATCCCAAAACAGCTGACTTCTAGTAGACATTACCGTAGTTAAGCGTTAACCAACTTCGATTTTTCTCATACTTAATAGCCATCTGAGCATCTTCATCTATCGTTCATAATGATAGGTGGTCTCATCTTGAAGCAAAATATTTTATGTTTCATTTTTTTTATTGCATTATCTTGATAATTGCTATATTTCTTAATTACATTGCTACATCGCTCTGACAATGGACGAGTTGATCTTAGATTTGGAAGTTTCTATAGTATTCTGGCTCTAGTTCTGACTCAAACGCCATGAGAAATTTGTGACACTTCGCATTGTTAAAAGCTAGTTGTTTTGTTAGTTATACTTCATTCCAAAAGAATTTGTTACTAAGAACAGTCTTACTACGCCGCAATGTTAATATTAACAAAAATTGGTTCTACACATTCTTGCTAAATTTTGTTGAAATCTCAAAATTCCCCGATTTGCTAAACATCATCTGAATACTTGTACCAATGTTTTGGTATATTTTTGGTAGGGGTACAACTAGGTAAGTTTACATTGAATCAACCAACGAAAAGCTTAGAAATGGCTATTGTTGCGCAAGAGTCAAAAGGCTTATAGGTCTTCATAAGTCTAGTTTGCTCTCCTCAAAATCTCAAAATCTTAGGTAACTCAAATGATGCTAAGTAGTGTAGTACTGCTAAGCTGGTTCGCTATACTCAACCGCCCTTAAAACACCAGAACCAGCGGCGAACGAGTTTGAAGGAGGTCATTTAAAAGAGGTTCAACATGTTCTGTTCCTTCTGATTCGCTTTAACGGATTATCATTTTGACAAATTTTCAAGGTAACACCCTTAAAAGCTAGTCTTTCAAGAAATGTTTATAAGACTTCCATGAGGAGCGCCAGCATA